TGGGAGTCCCTTCCTCTTCACTTGTTCTTCTCCTCCTGGGGGGCCAGGTGCTGTGCTGGCTTTCCTGAGCCTTCTTGGCCAATCCCCACTCCCCTGTGGCCCTCTCCCCAGATCATTACCTCAGAAGAGGCGGAGCGGCGGGGTCAGATCTACGACCGCCAGGGTGCCACATACCTCTTCGACCTGGACTACGTTGAGGACGTATACACCGTGGATGCCGCCTATTATGGCAACATCTCCCACTTTGTCAACCACAGTGTGGGTACCCCGCAGGTGGGTGGGGGTTGGGAGGAGCAGGCTGGGCCCCTCCTCACCCTCCCACTGTTCGTTTTCTCCCAGTGTGACCCCAACCTCCAGGTGTACAACGTCTTCATAGACAACCTTGATGAGCGGCTGCCCCGCATCGCTTTCTTTGCCACAAGAACCATCCGGGCAGGCGAGGAGCTCACATTTGATTACAATATGCAAGGTGGGGGTGGCAAGGGACTGGGGGCAGGGGCACATAGTGACATGGGACACAAGGATCCCTCCCCAAGGGGCTTTAAGATGCTCTGATTCTCAGTTTCCTTTCTGGACTCCCGGACCCCTTGGTGGGGGGGTCCCCTCATTCCCAACCCTAAGACACTCGTACCAACTTCTCCCAAGACTCCTGGGGGAGGATGTTTGGCTCGTTAAGACACTTCTCCTGACTCCAGTCTTGTCTGAACTTCCCTAGTCCCCCAATCTTCTCCGCTCCTCACCCTCTTTGGCCTTCCTCATTCCAAGCCTCTGGACACTCTGTGGCCTCCAACCAGTCCCCTACTTGACAGACTAGTCACCTCTGAGACACTCAAGGGGGGATCTTTGGCAGGAGAGTTCAGATGCCCCTCTGGATGCCCAGGTGACCCTTTATTCCTGGACCTATGCCTGACACAACCTTCCTGCTTCTCCCCTACAGCCCCCTGCTTTCCTCACAACCCCCAACTCCTGGCCATCTTCCTAACACTTAAACAACCTCCAGTGCTGAGCTCTGGCCCTAGCCCCAAACCACAAACTCCATGACCCCCACCTGAACCAAATCCCAGACCTGCTCCCAGCCTCCAAGATCCCTGGGTCTCTCATGGTAAAGGGGCAGCGGGACACTTCACTTAGGCCTTCTAACAAGTCCCCTCCCTGGCTGTGACTCCACAGTGGACCCCGTGGACATGGAGAGCACCCGCATGGACTCCAACTTTGGCCTGGCTGGGCTCCCTGGCTCCCCCAAGAAGCGGGTCCGTATTGAATGCAAGTGTGGGACTGAATCCTGCCGCAAATACCTCTTCTAGCCCTTTGAAGTCTGAGGCCAGACTGACTGTGGGGGCCTAAAGCCACCCATCCCACTCACCCACTACCCATCGTTCCCCTCCTATTGAGGAATGACTGCCAGAGCCTCCTGCCGGCCTCCACCCGCCCCCACCTGCCCGGTGTGTAGGGGTTGCAGTGAGGACTGACTCCAGGAATTCCCCTCTTCCCACAATTTATCAACACCAAGACTTTCTGCAGTTGGGATTCATGGCCTATGAAGGAGGTACAAGGGGTGAGCCCCAACCCAGCCCCAGAATAGAAAGTTTGTTTT